ATTGAATTAATTCACGCATTTTATTTTTAATTAATCCAATTAAGATTTAATTCATTTGTTCCTCTTTTTCTTCTTCCAATCTTATCTGGTGCTAGTGCTTTATTCAATTATAATGAGAGAAAACAAGGAGAGAAGAATAAGGGACGCATATTTCTCTCATTAAAATTTAACAAAGCACCCAAATTTCCAGATTACCACTAATAATAAGAAGAGAAATATGATTATAGATTTATTTAATTAAATATGATCTATCAGATATTAATTATTTCCAATTGAGTATGATGAAACTAGGATTTGGTTGTAGGTTATCATTATAAATTGACCTAAGAAATACCACTAAGAATGAACTAATTTCTTAGGTTAAATTTAATGGTAACTTGTAAGTCACTTTATAATGTAGGTTTACAGGAGAAATCATGTGATAGAATCTGGGCTTTTGGGTTCCTTCTTCTTCTCGTTTAGCTTTTATTAATTTAAACACAAGTGATGAAAGAACGCGTGCTTTAATTTAATAAAATAAACGAGAAGCACGTCTCATTTCTCATTCTGGTTCTTATTTCGTTTAATTTAAAGCAAAGAAGCATGCGTTCATTCCTTTCACTTATCTTCTTTGGTTTAAATTAATAAGAAATCGTACCATCGTGAGTCTTTCTATATGACAGGAACTCGCTTCACCGTTCGCTTGCCCTTCTTCCTCACCTCTTTGTTTCAATGCAATCTAGAGAAGTGAAATGAATGGAATGACTGAAGCGTGCTTCCTCTTCGCTTATTACCTTCACTTACCCTTCGTTTCCTTCGCATTGCATTGTAACTAAGGTTGGAAGAAGGAACGAGGAACGTGCGAAATAATTAAAAGTAAAAAGACAAGGGAACGCGAGCTTTTTGTTTTTATCTTTTCGCACGTCCCTCCTTCCCACCACCTGTTTTCCCTTTATTTAATTTGCTCTTTTTATTTTATTCACGCTTTCACTTCGTTACATTGTAATAAAACAAAAGAGCAAAGGAATCAAAACAAAACTTGGGATTAATGGAAATAAGATTGGTGAATATAGGAGAAAGTTAGTTACATCTTGGCTTACTTGTTTCCCTTTGAAAATCACCCAACCGTTCACTCATTTCCCTTTTTCTCATTGTGTTTTGTTTTTATTTTAAAATTAAAGCGTGCACCGTTCGTTCCTCACTTCCTTTACCTTTAATTTTAATAAAACAAACACACAATTGAAAAAGACCAAATTCGTGAGTCATCATGCCTGGCTTATTTTTCGTTCTTTTCGTTTCATTTCTTTGCTTCTTTGTATTAATTCTCGCTTCCACTTCACTTCTTTTCATTTCATTGAAATTAACACAAAGGAAAGAAAGAAAGAAGCGTGAAAGACTCAAAATAAGAGAATTCACCAATCTCATCGCCTGTCGTTCATTTCGTTTCTGTTTTCTTTCACTCTTTCACGCATTCCCTTCACTCATTTGTAAAGAGGAAAGAAAGAGAAAGAGAAATAGAACGTACCTGGTATGCGATTCCAAGGTGAAAGAGCCCAAAGATGTAATGGCAATCTAAGTCATTATCCCTGTGACAAAAGCACCTACAAGATACCACATAAAGTGACTTGTATTTCTAGGTCAATCTTAGTGGTATCTCCTAGTTGTATCCTAGTGATAAGATTGTATCATTAGAAATGACCTAGAAGATATAACCATATTTGACCTAAAAGTTTAGTTCATTCTGTCACATGATTCCCTCCTTATTCTACCATTACAGGTTATCCCTAGAATGTGAGGAACGGTGGTGTGGTTATTTTAATGAAACAAAAACAAGGGAATAGAATGTACGCGTGTTTTATTTCAATTAAAATAAATACAGCACCACCTTGGAATCGAGAGCCGAGTGAATAATGACTTGGAACTTGTATCACATTATATGGATATCTTCAGAAAATCTCTCTATTTTTCTATATTTTATGATAGCTCTGGAAATTCTAGAAATATTTTTTGAATATTCTTGGAAATTTTGGGAATTCCCAGATTCGAAATTTCCTATGATTTTGAGAATCGTCCTAATTCCTTGAATCGAAATTTCCAAGAATTTTTAGAATTCCCGAAATAAGCCCTGCACCAATCGAGCATCATGACTTCTTCCCATCGACGTGCAAATATCTTTGCTATAATGATATATTATTATGAATTCTGATTATTATAGGAATCGAGATATTCATAGCATATATAATAAATCGGCTAGCCATCGTATCTATATACCGAAATGTAGAAATGTGGGCGAGGGCGTGGATATCTTTGTATGTCGTGGTGAGCGTCGTGGAGTGGCGGGCGAGGGCATGTCGAGGTATCTCCCTCAAATGTGGGCGAGGGCGGAGTGTTTGACAAGGACGCATTCATGAATAGGAGGAGGGTCGTGGAGTGTCGGGTGAGGGCGTGTTTGCCGGGAGTGGTGGGCGAGGGGGGTCGAGGGAGTCTCATGGAGTGGTGGGAAGTGGGGAGCAGGGGTTGCGTGAGTAGCTGTGTAGTGCGGGAATGGGAGTGTCATGGAGTGGGAAGGGAGTGTGGTGGGAGAAATGAAAGTGTCGCGAAGAAGCGGGCGAGGGCGTTTGGGATGGGGATAAGTGGGCGGGTCTTGGAAATGGAGTATCGGAAGACCATGAGATATTGAAAATATCGAATGGATTTGAGAGGAGTATCGCCGGCTAGCGGGAGAAGACGAGTCGAAGAAGGCGTCATAAAGAAATAGGAGATGGATTGAATAAGATAGCACGAGCCTCATAGAATATAGATTATATCGATCATAGAGAATATTAAGGAATCATAGCGAAATCATATAGAAGACCGGGAATAATTAAGAAATTATATTGAAAGAAGGTAGATTGAAGAAGATAATTCGACTTAGAAGATAAAAATTCAAGAATGTTATAAAGAACCCGATTCCCCAATCTCGGTAAGAGATTATTAAATTGTAAAATCAAGTATTATTCTTCGCCTATTGAGATTATCTCTTGCATTACCCAATCCCAAAGACTAATATAAGATTCCTAGAATGCCCGGTCCCACAGATTACTTATTCAATCCCATAGAGTAGGATAAAATCTCCAGAAAAATCTAATCCTATAAATTCCCACAAGACTTCTAGAATGCCCAACCGCCCCAGACTAGAATATTTAATCTCCTAGATTAATATCGTAGATTTATATGAGATGCCTTAGAAAGTCCAAGTCCGCAAATTACCGTGAGATTCTCTAGAGTGCCCAGCCCGAATAATAAAATATCTTGAAAATAGAAATATCGGCATAAAATAATTATATGATATTAAAGCTCTCATATGTATATTTTATCTGTTGCAGAATTTTAGGTAAAGATTTCATGTTTATAATCTCTCTTATTCTATTTAATATATTTATTATTAAATGAGCCGTCGATAATAAATTAAGATCTTCGAAGATTCAATATATCGAATTTGATTGAAAATAATAGAAGAAGAGATTCGACCGGACCTCGTCGGATTCTGTATACGTATGACAGAAAACCAACCCAAATCGACGCAACCGAAAGTACCAGAACCCATATTACAAAATCCAAAAACCTCCAAATCAAACAATACCAAAACAACAACAAAAGCCAAAACCAAAAAAATAACAAAACCAACACCAAACAGAGGCAAAAGCCCCAAAACCAAATAAAAACAGAACTAAAGAAACATCTTTCTGGAAGTATTCCGGGAATTCTGTAATCCGGGGCGCTGGGTCAAGACTTTCTGCAAATTGTCTTTTTGTTATGTTGGTGTTTGTAATTTTAATGGTTTTGGGGTAACTTTTTGGTTCTCAGCTTTGCCTTTTGCTGGTGGGGTCATATTACATGCTTATCTGTGTCTTCAGCCATTGCTTTCTTATTCATATTAGCTTCTTTGTAACCGTGTGCATTGGGAATAAAAGGAAAAAGGAAAAACGCGGCAGACAGGTTATAGCCTTTAACCGATTTTCGATTGTTTTTCTATGATAGAAACTAAAGTCTGAATCAAATCTCCACGATCATCTAAATTGACATGATAATTCTTGTACATTGACATGTCTCCTCACATTTCTTCTCTGGATCGATGCCTGTTGCCCGAGCCCGAGACCTCAGCAAACGCGCAGGGAAGCCCCCCGCATGCCCCATCTAAGAACCGAGTTCCCGGCGCTTTGGTGGAGATAGGATATGTGATCAGGCGCCTGTTGCACCAGGCCATATTGAATTGTCGAAGTCTCATGCTCTGGCCGAGGTCATGCGAAAGTACGTCCCGCACCTGCATGATTTCGATTTGGGAGGTTGTGAAGCCTCTTCGAGGTCCGAGTCCTGAAGAGAGTTGCGTTTGGAGCCGAAAGGGCCGAATCCATGTGACTACCAAAGTTAACCAAGCAATTGAATTTCCTCGTTTCGTTGACACTCACTTTCCGGGAGGATGCTTTCCTTCATATCCTGAAATCATCTGAGATCAGTATTCGGACGAAGTTTCGGATCGTGTTCAGAGACGCAGCTTGACCGTGCTCCGGGCCTCTGCTGAGACTACAGCCTCCACATCAGTCATGGCCGAGCTTTCGTCTGCCTCGAGCTGGCCGGGGAGCAACACCTCCCGCGGAAGCAACACCTCCACAAAAAAGGCCTGTGCCGAAGCAGTCGCAAGACACAAAATCGTCACCGCCTCGACACTGGGAGGACCGTGTGGAACCAGCTTGAAAAGCTCTGGCTGTTGTATGGCACCCTGGAGCTGACACGCGCAACTTGGTGTTCTTAAGCGTGGCTTGGCTGCCGTCTGAGACTTTGGCCCTAGTGACGTCAGCTATGAAGTAGACTGCAGAAGAGTCTATGGGATCTCGCACCATCGATCTAGGAGCGTGTGCCTGCATTGGCCCATGCAGCTTCGGGAAAGCCAAGAGCATGTCACAAGTCCAGCAGAAAATTTCATGGCAAGATGTGTCCAACGCACTCTCGTTTGCCACAACTTTTGCCCAGGGGAGCTGGGGCACGAAACTCTCACGCGATGGAATTGCTACCAACTTTGAGTAGTGGTGCACAGGACGAGGGCACACCTTCGAGCCAAGCGAAGCGACCACAGTGGGGTTTCATCCTCCAGCCGAACCCTTCTTGTCTTCGCGACTGCTCGAACGAGAACTTTCTAAATCATTGCTGCATAAAGCCCCCACAGGGCACATCGCAAGCCTGAACGCGAATCCATTTATCACCAAAATGAAATGTCAGCGTACTCAGGGAAAGACTGCCAAAAGGACTGCCGTAGTCGCGATCCGCGTTTTCACTGAGGGGTTGCATTTTGGCCTCTACCCCCTTCGCAAATTAGCAAAGCTGGGCCTGGATAAGAAAACCATCGTCAAGTTTGGGGAGGGAGCTTTCGTTAGTTCACAACTCGGATTCAGTTTATGAGATACGCGGATGTGCGCTTGCACTCTGCATCGTCCTCTCACGGCCATCTACCAAACGAAATTCGCCGAATGCTGTCAGGATGCACTTCGAGAACTGTTCTTATAGGAAAATAACATCCTGAAATGCACCCACACGCGGGCACTTCCAGAGAAAAGGGGCCCAGACCCGACGCACCTCAAATTCAACACAACTGAAAGCGAATCAAGAGTCACGCTTTCCCTGTACAGATAGAAAAGTCACGGAATGCATGCATCTACCTCTCTACAGGCATGATGCAGATGCCTGCTGGGGGCGGCGGGGTGGGGTCGGAAACGGGTGCGGCCGTGTTCGCGAGCAGGTTGGACAAAAAAAATCCTGGAGCTCACTGGGCTCAGCAGTTGTTTTTCGTCGGCTGTCGGTGATGCTGCGAGGGAATGCGAAGTCAGCAAGAGGTCATTGCAACACCCTGCAAATGCGCTGCGCATGTTGCGTCCAAACTTGAGACAGCCCTACTGCGATGACACCAGCCAAAAACATGCTCGCACTGGCCAGCTGGGGCAACGAATGGGCGCAAGCGAGCCGGTCTCGCATTCCTCGGCCTCACACAGCTGCTCCATGTGGCTCACTTGTAAAAGGTTTGCCATAGGCTGCCCCATGCTCCGGGGTGCGAACTTGGTGGAGGAAGCAGATGTCCATTGACAGTTGCAGTTCAACTCACCAGTCACGGCACGCGTGACTTGCAGCAGATCCTCACCCAAGCTCTACGGCCCTGCGAGCATGACAAAACAAGCACAATCTTGCAAGCTTTCAATCCCGTCCTTTGGCTGCCCTGGCAGCAAGACCACCTCCACAGCAACATTTGCCAAAACATTCTTGACCACAAGAGTCCCAAAGCAAAGTCTAGGCTGCCAACAGCTGTTTCTGATGGACCACACTTTGCTGTGAATGCTGGCTGCTGAGCCTGCCGAACTCTCATGGTGCAGCGTCACACCAGTCGCATCGACAGGTTTGATGCACCTCGTCATCTGGACTGGCTTGCCGTCTTTGGGCTGGATCAAGCCAGATGCCAAAACGTCCGCCCCCGACAGCAAGCACTCGGGCACCTTGCTTGCGAGGTTGTTTCTGACTAGCATTTACAAGGCAAACACACTCCCTCCCCCGACCCAGGCTTTGACCTCAAAACCCGAAAACACCCAAGCAGTCGTTCGAGGAGCTTCTCTGCACAGGTGAGTGGATGGGTGAAATTTTAATGGCATGTCCAATGGAACAGTTTAGTATTGGAGGCATTCCTTACCATGTTTACTTTGATTGTATCAAGGTTTCGAGGCTTGTGACCGTCTGGTGAAATCAAGCTGTTTAACACTTCGGAGGTATGTTGCATCTGCGAGGGCTTCCTATTACAGCTCTGCTACAGCTCCGGCACAGCTCCCGTCTTTCCCGTTAACAAGTCCATTACAGTTCCGTCGCAGCTCCGTTACATTTCCGTTACAGCTCCCGTCAAAGCCTGCCTGTATGCTACTGCCCAGGACGGCTTTCGAAACATGGTAGAGAGTTTTGAAGTCAAGCCATCGTTCTTGGCATGTGTTTCCTGCCGGAGCATGTGTCCTTGCGTGAGGCTTGGGGACACTCAGCCTTCTCAACATGGTGTGCCCGCGACACTCCGAGAAGAGCCTTCTCGCCTCCTACGAGGGATGCAACCGACCGCGTGGCACAAATACGAGAGTGACCCTCAACCCCAAGCCATCATCTTAACCCCGCAACCCCACTTGCACGACTTTCCGACACCGGCATCCTCCCCGCCTGGGCCCTCCGGGTCGGCATCCAGGCCGCGAACAGGAACACCTGCACCCCGCAGGACATCCCATTCTTGCAATCGGGAGATAAGCACAACGGGTTGGGTTTCAGGCGTGCCTAAGTGCAGACGCCGCAGAAGCGTCGGAACTTGGAGTCGGCGCGATAGCTCCCAAACCTCCGTTTTTCTTGCATCCCAGGCGGGGAAAGGCAGCTTCTCACTTTGCCGAGTGCGCCGCCACTCCATCCTGAGTTTTACTGCGAGGCTTCGGAGTGCTGTGAAGCCTAAGCGTTCCTGATTAGTTTACAGGCCTCTGAAAGAAGACTGAGGATGCCACCTCGCAGCCCACAAGCACGTTCTTGCCACGTGCCAGTATGGCAGATGCTGGCACGCCTCTCCGAAAATCATCCCGAAACAGCACAGCATGATAATTTACGGTCAACAGCTCGCAGGCAACACTTGGAGTCTGAACAATCCCCTAGCAGCTCTAGCAGAAAGGGGTGCAAGTTCTCTGCTGTGGATCTGGGGAGATGACCGACTGTGAAGAAGTCCGAAGGCAAGAAATCAGCCAGCACGTCAAGTTGCTTCACGGTGCCATCCTTTGCGAGAGCAGCTCGAGTTGCAAAGACTCGAAGATGAACGACCCCTGCAACGCTTTGTACCCTCGAGATCCTCAAGACTTCCCCCGAAAGCTGTTGTCAGAGAGTGGCATCAGAAGCCGTCAGCAGAATGTCCCCACCACTGCTGACAGCTCTCACCTGAATCTCAGATACACTGGCTTGCACAGCCGCTAGAGTTGCCCAAAGGCAGCTCCGACACTGGTTGCCTACACAGTTCGATCTGAGGCAGCTGCTGGACCTGAGTGAGGGTGCACAGACACGACCTGCCAACATCAATAACCCCCCCGACTGTCTCAAGAACTTTAGTGGCCCGACTTCCTATTGTGACACATGCCTCGGGATTCGCATAGCTCGTGTTTCTTAGGGTTCGCATGGCTCGTGTTTCAACCGACTGTGAAGTCATCGTGCAGGTTCAGGCCGAGGTGGCTTGCTGCTACAGGTAGCAATGAAAGGCGATACCGACCCTTCCGGAAGCTACTCAACGGGCGAAGTCACGACCGGAACTTGCAAACACCATGCAAGCTCATGGGCCAATGCAACACAATCGACTCCGAAACATCATTAAATTTGTTGTTACCACTCTCAACACTGGCCATCCAAGGTCGGCAAATACAGGCGTTTGGTAAGGTCCCGTGTCCCTTTCTGCGAATGAACGCAACGAGCTTTGCCGATACATCTTCTAAACGTTTTCGGTGGCTCAAATACATCTTCCTACTACAGGGACGGGTGGCGTTTACCACATGTCAGGGCCGAGAATGCTGATTCGAGGAATTATACACATCAGCGCCAGAATACACGCATCACGCAAGCCTTCATTTTCAAGGTGTCGCTGGATTTTGTTGATCGTTGTCAGAAACGTCGAAACTTAACGAAAGCTCGCGGACGCTTTCTTTTCGGCGCGGAATATTTCTTTCTCGTGCGATTTGTTAGCGAATCACGAAGGTGACGCTGGTTTCTCTTGTCATTGTTGCATTGCTGCAGCTAAAGATCTCGGACGGAATATAAAAACAATCTGCTGGTGCACAACCAAAGGGGCCATCTTCGAACAACGGATGCGATACCCCGCGATCCACGTAGCGAGTTTTGACTCTGGGAGCCTACCGCTGGCCGAAAGAACCCCAAGATCCGCGCGTACACACCCGAGAGATGTGTTAATATCCGGCCAAACTCAAGATCGCGTACCCACCCGAGAGATGTGTTGATTCCCGGCCAAAGATAGTGACCGGGACTCGATTGAAAACAGCAATTGATAAAGGAAACCCTCTGACTGGACCAGGAAGCCCGGCCATTCCGCATCGCCCGCTGTGGACGCTGTAATGGTTGATGCTTGGATGCATGCCAGGCCCGGCTCCGAAATGCGTCACCCCAGTATGGACGCTGCTGACACGGTGGATGATTTTAGGATGAACATGGGTAGTAAATCGAATTCGTGGCTCTACTTGCGTGCTGCCTAGTCGCGAACAGCAAAAAAGATGCTCCCCGAATACATTCATGTCATGTCAATCCAAGTAACCCCACAGATACGCGACCCACGCACTAAAACAGCTCGCCTGCTGATTTTTCGCAAGAGCCGATTGCGTCCATTGTCAAGCAGGGTCATGGAGGTTGTTCAGATCTCTGTTCAATATTGTTCATCTGCTTCCTCGCCTTGAACGCTGAGAGGTAACAACGCCTTCCATTTTTTACCCCCGAAGGTCTGGTCTCGACAACACTGCCCGGTTCAGACTTCCACGGTTCACCTGTAGCATGCAACGAATAAAAGGAGTCCCCGCGCCTCCTTAAGCACCCGTCGTCGCAAGTGCCTCAGCATGATCAGGATTCCCATGCTGCCTCGACCCCAACGAGTTGAATTCGAGAATTGAGCGGCTACCACTTGCGGCAGTATACTGCTGCAAGCCGGGAGCAGCAACTCTCACAACAAGCTTCGTGCCGCGGTCCCCGCTTACACGGCTGCTCGAAACTCTCCGCGTCTCTTGTCCGAATGTGCTCCGAGTTTGTACAGTCTCAGGTATCGGCCACACTCGTACACGCCCGGCCTCAATAACTTCAGGGACTGCAAGGAGCCGCACTCCACGAGCAGGTCTCGAGGCCCTTGCAGCATCGCCTGCTGCTATCGTCTGGGACCCCAGCCTCAGACACTTTCTCCTGAAGAGTTTCTCCGAGGATCCAAACAAAACCCCGAGATCTGAGCAAAGCACCCGACCAGACATGTAGCCTGCTTTCAAAAACACACACAGGGCATCACCATGCATCACCAAAAGACATGCCGAGTTGATCAGATGTGGCCATGCCATGCAAGTGACCGACTGCTCTCCACAAAACAAGAAGAGCCCATGTGCGATTCCACCCATATACTTAAGATGAACGATACGTATCCGTACCCCAAATGCATCTGTACAGTCGCACTTAAAGCCCCACTGTTGTGTCAGCACAATCAATGCCGAACTGGCTGTCTTCGACCTGGAGCCCACCTCGACCTCGACTTCGGCGAGACGTGACATCGAACCGGCAGATGGTGTTGACCACACCTTGCTCTGGGCTGTTGCAGTGCGTTGCAGCTAGCAGACCGTCTGGAGATTGTCATTTGGGACCCTTGGGCCCTGCAGGCTTGGGGCTTTCGGCACTCACACTCGGACACGCTTGGCAAGGCATTTCGAGTCGTCTAATAAACAGATCAGGTCCTCCAAGAGGTGGCTTGAGGTTCGAAAAGCTAGCCTCACACTCGGACGAGTGCTGATCTGCTGATGCTTCACTCCTCAGCCCTGAAGTCTGTTTCAAGTCCGTACCAGAGGAGTGGAACTGGAGCTGAGCTGGCCGATGCGAAAAGCGCTCCACGTTCGTCTGCCCCGAACCCTGATCCAAAATCTGGAACAAGCACCGAGGTCTTCGCTTGCACACTTTTCTTCGAGCCAGTGATGACCTCCCCATTCTCCAAGCAGCCGATGCTGAACGTTCCCTGTCCAAGGCGCGAAACCCCTCATTCGTCTTTGATTTTCTCTTCACGGTAGAGGAATGAAGAAGGAGCACATGCACACTCCGCACTCGCACTCGGGCGTGTGCTTCTGGAAGCTTCTCCAGCTCATGGAGCTCGTAGCGCATGGGCGAAAAGTGGGGGCCGCCCTCATGGCGGCGAAAAGAGCAGAGCGTGAATTCTTGAGCCCAATGCACGTGCGGCCGCGAGCAGATCTTCCAGCTGATGCTCTCCTGCGCCTATGGCAGACGAAATCTTGCAACTGGCCGATGGCATAAGTGATCCAAAACCGCACAGAGCTTTCTCGCTAAAGTGGCTCTGTTTTCGGGGCAATACATCGCCATTCCACCTGCAGCCCTGTGGTCCATCCGCAGACAGCGAGCTTGTCGGCTGGGTTCGTGTCATACGGTGCCAAACACCGGAGTCACTGGAAACTAGGACGAGGAAACTGAAATTACTGGAGTTGATTGCTTGTGGTGACAGCTTCGCTGGTTGGAAGTTGCCACACAAGGGCTGTCTGCCGCTTGCTTTCGGGCATGCACACGCGGGCCAGCGCCATTGCAGCCTGTCTCAGGAACACGACTCCCTCTACCAATAGGCGTCCATGAACCCGTACACTGTGCCGCCTAACTGCTTCGAAAGCCTTAATCCGAATCCCCGAGCAATCACAGTTGCTGAACCACACACTGCCATGCTCAGCTTTAGTAGTGGCCTTCGTTCGTCGACATTGCGAGGACTGGGACGTTCAAGACTAAGGGTGGGAGGCGTTTCGTCGTTCAACCTGAAGTATTTACTGATACGCCTGCTCAGTGAGCCCAGACCATGAACTCGCAGTACACTAAACTCGCGGACGGTGGTATGCCAAACAGCATTTCGTTTCTGCTGGTTCTGCAGGCCGTCTAGAAAGGACTGTCCACACTGCAGGATTGTAGTTTTGTTTCGCAGGTAACGCTGCACGAGAGTATACACGAGCCCAAGAAAAATTGTGATGGTCATAATTTCGCCTTTGGGCTTTGACTCTCAGTCGCTTGGACTGCTGTAAATGTGCTAACTGACAAGCAATGAAAAACAAAAGACCTGTCTTGCTTTTGGGCGCAGTGCGGACGCTTTCGGTCATGAGTGTCCGTCGAGGTTGTCACGACGAATCCTGGGTATAAGCGGTGTAGCTGCATGACCTGGTTCCTGATCAGCCTTCCGTACACTGCATCACATGCAGCTTTGCTGTCCATAGTCTTAGTCTGTTTGTCTCTGTGGTGCGGGCGTGTCAGTGGCCATCTCGCAACAAGCATTCGCCTCTTGATGCTATCGACGCCGGCGACGGCGACGGCTTCGCGACTCATCTCGCCTGCCCCTGTGCAAAGGCCCAAATCCAATTTGCGTGCACTGCATCATGCCGATTACAAGCTGCCACCTAGCCTTCTACGCCGACGCCGTTCTCGCGAAGCTGAGCGCGACCTTGCTCGGAAAACATTGCGGGTCGCTGATGCTCTTGCTCAAAAGGAGCCCAAGAGAACTACACTTCAAAGCAGGTCGAATGTGGTCTGCGGGCGTCGCCCAGCAAGCCCCACGGACGGAACTGAACTCTCCCTGTGACATTCCTGAGAATGCCACGGCGTGTAGGACCTGAGTTGTTTGCTGATCGCTTCTTCAGGCATGAGTGCCTTCTGGTCCAATGCGCGGAAGTTCTAGGGGCTCGATCGTGAAGTACCTGGGCTCCGCGCTCAGACCGGGAGTCATCCCGGCGACGCCGCGAACCTTGGTGCAAATGCTCGGGACGCACGTGGACTATATAAGAGCGCAGCAACGTTTTGGTAATCATTGCACCGCTGCTCTGCTCAGATGTAGAGATTCGCGTTGGCTAGGTCCGGTTGCATAGATGCGGTGGGGTGCGACCAATGGAATCAGTGGGCCGCGCGTCTCGTGAGTCGGTGCCGAAACGGCTTCAACCCCTTCAGTCTCTGTGTTCCGTCGTTGAGGTGCTGGCGTGATCTACGACCTGCTCCTCGGCCCTTGTCCGGCAACTCCTGCCAGAGCTACCCGCCCTTCTCGCGAGAGATGATGCGAGCAACCAACAAAAGGGTTTGGTGCAGCATCAGCTGTGACACAAGATGCAAACAGAGAGACATGGCATAGCAAATCCTCTGCCGTTTTCTTGGCCTGCAGGAACACTTGCGTGGACGTCCAGAGTGCAGTTTGTACAAGTCGAGTCGAGTCAGCTACGTGGATCCTGTGAGCGTGCGTTGTTCCAACCCCTCTGTAAGCATCGCACCTGCATGGAAAGGGACACGCTGATCTCCTGGCCCATTATGTCCTTACCATCCTGGGCTGGCGAAGGCCTGCTTGAAAAGTGTGCAGCACAATCCTGGGCACAGGCCATCGCATCAACGGCATCTTCAGCATCGCCTGAGCTGCCAGACACACTGTTGACGTGCACCGTCCATAGAGCTAGCCAATCTCCCCGGCTGGGACTGCGGCGCTTCTCCAGATAGCGAACAAACGCAAAATTTCGATCTCTTGGTATATACACCTGGGACTAAGGTTGTGGCACACCTCTTGTATTCCTTTCCGAGCTTGTCCGAGATGCTACTGATATAAGGATCAAGCATCCCCAATCTCTCCGAACTTTGAGAATTTTTCCCTGAGCTCCTCCTTCACCTCAAGGGGTCCACTTTCGCAAGTAAACACTCGCATGCAGATATCAAACACAGACAGGCCAGTGGGCAGCTCACCGAAATCACTTCGTCTTGCGTGCAAGTGATGTTGTCAATCTTGACACTATGCCTGGCCCGCACTGCTCTGGCAAGGATTTTCGGGCACTGCAGCATGCGGCAAACTGAACATCACTGTCTGTGCAACTGTCGAGATGCCACTGCGAAAAACAGGCCCAGCGACAGGTGATTGACATCCGGGATACGGGCCATGCGCCGTCAGCGGCACCTTGCCGCGTGCACTTGCGAATCTGCTGACTGCCGCAGCAAAGAACATAGATTCGCTTCGTCAAAACCGCACCTTGACTGCGAGGCCCGCTTGCCGCGGAGGTTCCCGGCGCTCGACAGCTTCCCGCTGGAGGCCCCCTTGAGCTGTGGGATGCAGCGTGGCATTGGGATCGCGCGAGGCGACATCTTGGATCTGGGTTCTGTGAGACTTGACATGGCGGCCCAATGTCCATGCAACCGTCTGCTTTTTCTGCACATCGCCATCCAAGACCCCAGGATGTCAACCTCTGGAACTCGGAAGCCTACTTTCGCTCGTCGAAAGGTTAGGAGTTTAGATCTTGCTTGTACCGTTGATGGGTTCCCCTCGCGGGGCAGTTTTGTTTCCAGAGAACCAGAGGTAACCAAGACAGCTGACAGCGTGGCAGGTTTCGGCATGGTCCCGTGCAGAACGTGAGTCCAGGGATGGTGGTTAGGCATGACAGTCCCTCAGATAAGCACTTCCACCGCCTTCATTACGAGGGTGCATGCCCATCTGCCCTCTGCTGTGTGCGCCGCTGAATCGAATTGGCATGAATTGGCTGCTGCTCATCTGGCTGCCCGGGCCTTCGCCTCGATTGGGTTTGAATGTGAAACTTGGAAAAAAGAGTCCCCGCATCCGAGCTCTCTGCGTGGGGCTTCCTGCCGTTGCCTACCTCAGTTGGGAGCTCAGCCTCTGCTGTTCTGGACGGTCAGCCAGCTGTTCCACATTGCCCTTAGGCACCGGCCGCCGCGGCCGCCTCTTCGGCCAGGCGACGAAGACTTGGCTTGTTCCTGGGAGGTTCCGGTTTGGACACGCAATAGCCTCCGTAGCCCGGAGGCATGAGGCTGCAGATGCCACTGCCATGGTTAAGGGCATGGCTTGAAGTTGTTCAGAGAGGGCGCGTCGGCCTGCTGCCGCAATCCAAAAAAGCTTTCGACTGCCCACTCCCAGAACGTGCCGGGCGCCCTGCAAAAGCGGCGAGGGGTCTGGCCATGCTCCGGAGCCGGCCAGCATCCAGCGCACCCAGCAGGCCGGTGCCTGGGAGTCCACGCTTCTGAGACAAGCCTTTCCCCTAGAGCTGATATTCCTTTTTGCGGCTGAGTTGCCACGAGCAGGGCTGGCTTTCACCTTCCTTGGAGATTCCTCGGAGTCCTCGGAATCCTGCCACAACCTTCGCCTCACCGTCTCGGGCTCGAACTCAGCGGGATCCTTCTTTGGTGCCTTCGTCCCGGGTGTCTTGGCCGCAGCGGGTGTTTCCGTTTTTGCTCTGCCCTTGGCTTTGGCCTTGGCTTTGGCCTTGGCTTCAGCTTTGGCTTCGGCCTTGGCCTTGGCCTTTGCTTTGGCTTTGCTAGAAGCCTTGGGCTTAGTCTCAACCTCGTCGGGCTCGGTTGCCTCTGGCTCGGGCAGTTTCTCAGCCTTTTGTGGCTCCTTCGGCTCAAATCTACATGCATTTTTCGTGAAAGTCATTGCAAAACTGCGTGCTCCTTGCTTCTCCGTCTGCTCGCGGCTGCCTTTGGCGTGGACCTACGCAGCGCGTCGTAGACAAAGCAGAAACTTCAGCAGCAAAGTCTCAGCCGCAAACCCCGATCGATGCTCGTATCGCTCATTCCGCCACGTCTGCAACCTGTCTCAAGTACATATACCGAGAAACGAGTTTCTAGCGACAAATACAGGACCTTCCCAAATTCGAGAAGGAATGGTTTAAAACTTGCCACCGAAGAAACGGCGACATTCGCTTGCGGCTGGATTGACAGCGGCCAGCAAGAAGTTCCATGGCCTGGCAGCTTACATAGCCGCAAATTCCCACATCGAAATTTGTGCACCGCAACATGAAACCCAGAAGCTCCCAAGCCGACGTCCATCACAGGATCATTCACAGGCCCGGCGATGCATTCAGAAGCAGCAACGACATGCCGAAGTACTCAGCATCTGACATTAACAGAGGCTTCGGTCCTGCCTGTTCTTGCTTGCGCTTGGATCGATGCTTCTTGCCTCACCAAAAGCACAGCAACAAGCAACATGCATCTGCAAAGGTAACCCCACGCCTCATCAGGAGAAGACAGCAATGTGTTTATGATGCTATTGATAGAGCAGCTGTTGCATCACTACCCCTACCACCACCACCACCACCACCACCACGACTACTACTACTACTACTCCTCCTCCTCCTCCTGCTGCTGCTGCTGCTGCTGCTGCTAGTACTACTCCTCCTACGACTATTCCGACTTCTGC